GTTTTATGTGCTGCAGAACAGGAACCTGCTGTAAAACAGCAATAATGCTTAGTCAGGCTTGATTTTAGTAATCTTTTTCTGTTGAATCAACAAAAAAAAAGCAAAGCTTGAATCAGAGAAAACCATTTAAGGAGCCTCTTTGGAGACATCGATTTTATTTTATTTTTTTCCCTCTAATTTTCTCCTGCAGATTTAAATTGCTTACAAATGATTTTCTCTCTGCTTTTTCAGAATGATTAACTAGAATATGACATTGATTTTCTGTCTCAGGTTTATAGGACACTAATTTATCCGAGGAACCGTTTGGGTTTGCTGCTTTTGTTACACAACCCAGCTTATGGCTCTTATTTTCCTTTTATGTTTTTTGTCATGCAAAATGTAATGTGTTGTGCATTTGTAAAACAATGCATATCGGCGCAAATGAGAGGAAAAAAAAGCGTGAAACTGTTTCTGTAATTTATCTTTTATTATTATTTTTAAACTAAATTTTACTATTTTAAAATATGCAAATTGTAAAAATCAATTGGTGTGGGAGTTTTTGTTTGTTTTAAATAAAAACGATAACCATATGTGTTTTTGTTGGTGTGATAGACACTAAACTTTTTTAGATGATGCTTTGTCAGATGCTTGTATTTATGAAACAAAAACACTGATATACATTTTGCATCTATAAATAATTTGCTAAACATTTCTGTCTTGGGCCACTTTTTATTGTGTGTATTCAAGTTATTTTTTACATCTCTATAAAAAAACTATTCTGGGATTTCTGTCAGCCTAAAATCAATTATAGTCTTATATTTATAGAGTTTTGTTTAGCCATTTAATCATTTGTAATAATTTATGTGTTTACTTTCTTCAAGTTTTGTTGAAATTCATTGACTGATTCATAAGATATTTTGCTAACAAACATGCATAGTCAAAACATGATCATCGCCTAGATGAAATTTAATTTTACTAGTATAATAAAAAAAAATAAAGAGCTATAACCTAATTTATAATTCTGCGCTTTTGGGGGGTAATTTAGACTTGTTCACCTCGCCTACTGGTGTTTTCTTGAAATCCTTGGTTGGTTTCTTTTTTGTTCACAAGTCATTGTATTATATCGTTTTATACAATGAGTCATTCATTCAGACATTCTGTTTTAATGAAACTAGAATAGAAACGTTGAACAAGTACTGCGTACTTTTGCTGAACACAAGAAGCAGCAGGAACTTACGCTGTAGCCACGCCCACTGTTATGATTTGAGAATGGACCAGACCAAAGACAACGACTTATTAACATTATAATTACGAAGTAAAAACAAAACTATTTTGTATTTAGATTGTTCAACTGTTTACTTTGTGCTATAACCGAACTGTAAAAGTAGTGTTATAAAAAGTGTTGGACGGCTAACTCGATATTTTTTAAGCTCCTCCCCCCCATGTTTTAAACAGAATGGTTTCACCCAGATTTAAACCTTTTACACAGCTGATATAGTTCCGCTTACACTGCTTATATAACTATAAGCCTTTCAAAACAACACCGGGTAAGATTTAAAAAGTCAATAATTATTACTTAAACGTGAAGATGGATATGTTTTATTAAATATACTTTTAAACCAATTTTAGTCACGTTTCTGTACAGAAGCTACAAGTTTACAACCAAGTAGATGAATTTATGACACTTAAACGGGGAAAGTTTTATGTTTGTTTGCCGTGTTGTTTGGACATGCCGTGCTCATATTTGCAGACGTTTTCTACTTTGTTTTGATTATGTTATCTGACCAATATAAGCTTAAGTTACTGTTTAATAATTTTTAAATTTACAACTACTGTTAAATAATTTGAAATCACTCCTCAAAGAGTTTCTAAATTATCAATCATATTAATTTCTTATATTTTTCAACGAAAAAAGACTTTATAGGATGTTTATGAATGATGTGAATAATGTTGCAGAGTTTTGCAGAAATGTCGAATCAGAGAGAAGAGGCTGCAGATGATTCTCCKGACGACCTTCCCAGTCTGGAAACACTCGACTCTCCTACAGGTCTGAGGTTTATTACATCACTTCTGAGACTATTAGTCACTGAATCATTACCGCCGTGGCAGTTTTAATTATCTGTGCGTGTGTGTTTTTGTGCGTGTCAGGGAGTCCTCCGACCGCCTCGTTATCCAGCATGATGGAGCTGGAAAACTGTGTTTCCAACCTGAGCCTGGCTCATGAGATCCTGGTGAACAGAGACTTCTGCTTCAGACCCCCAAACCCTCCCACCAACAGGTAAAAACAGAAAGTTTCACTTGTCCTTGAACTGGTAAAATAAATTTAACGCTTCTTGTCCTGGTTTAGCCTGGAGGCCAGAGTGAAAGACATTGTCCACCAGGCGTTTTGGGACGGTCTTSAGGAACAGCTGAGCAGCGATCCTCCAATCTTCAGCCACGCTCTCGTCCTGCTGCAGGAGGTCAAAACTGTACGTTCAGAAGAACCCTCCCCCACTTCAACCAGAGTCGTTACGTTTCTTCAAAAACGCAGCACAAATTCTAATTTCTAAATCCAGTTTTTGCTTCCCATCAGACTCTGGAGTCGCTGCTTTTGCCCGGACACGTCAGACTGAGGTCTCAGCTGGACGAGGTTCTGGACATGGAGCTGATCCAGCAGCAGGTGGATCATGGAGCTCTCGACCTACACGGACTGGCGGGATTTATTATAAACACCATGGCGTCTTTATGTGCCCCGGTTCGAGACCCGGAGATCAGAGGTCTGCGGGACCTCAAGGAACCTGTGGAGCTCCTCAGGTGAAAACTGGACCAGTGCTACAAGACGCAGTCTAATGGGATATCTTGCATGATCTATTAGTGCTTGGAGTATGTGTTGTGAATGACTCTCAGCTACTACCACACCACATTTCAGCTCAGAATCTGTAAAATTCATTGAGCTGTAGCAATTATTGTCCATCTGTTAGCTGCAGTGGCTTTCTTCCTCGTAATCAGTGATGATATGTTACTAAAAATGACTTCTTTGTTGTTGCCCTCAGGGAGATCTTCCGTGTCTTGGGGCTGATGAAGTCCGACATGGTGAACTTCACCATCCAGAGCCTGAGGCCTCATCTCCTGCAGCAGGCCGTTCAGTACGAGAGGCTCAAATTCCAGCAGATCCTGGACAAACAGCCTGGTAAGCAGGGATAATAACACGAGTCAATCCAAATTGAAAATGTCTGCCACAGACACAGATATCTAAAGATATCCTTCGAATACAAAAAGTAGAAGAAAACGTCTTTATATTTAGGAAACTTGGCATAAAATATGTGATTTTACACATTTTGTCACATAATTGGCATATTTTCTTTTGAACTTGGTTCAGCCGAAGTGAAACAGGAAGTGACATCAAAAGGGAACTCTTTAGAGTAACTTACCCCAAAATTAACTTTTTTTAGCTGATAAACTGTCTAGAATGTTAAATAGTACTGTTTTTGTGCTAATTTTGATGTTTTTGTGCGTATTTGTTCAAATCTGTAATATTTGGTCTAAAAATGTGTTTTCGCTGCTCATATGGGTAGAGCAG